AACCGTAAGATCTAACAATTAAGAAATATAGAATTTTTTTATTATTGGGTTCATAACAATTATGTTTACTTGAGATGTTTATGTAGAAGACCAATTTAACTTTTTTTCATATTTTTTTCTTTGTTTCACAAATGGAATATATTTAACATATATTTTTCCTGATTCAGAAGATTCCACCTATTTAAGTAGAATTCAATCAATTTCAGCAAAATAAGTTAATTCTATTTACTTTAGTATTATCAAACAGACTCTATATTAGACTAAGTTTATTTTTCTTTTAAATCACATTATATGTGATCCAATAGAAATTAAATTTCAAATTAGCTAAATTATATACTGCTCGTGTATCGCACGAGCTTGAAAGCTAGTAAGCAATAAACAATAAGAATAAGACGAAGAGAACTACTTCTTAGTCATATATATTCTTGTGACAAGAATATGACTTATTTTAATTTTTTTAAATAGTAGCATATTAAGTGACTAGTTTTTAGTGATATCATCTAGTAGTAGAATGTCGTTGTTAAATACACTATAGTGACTCTTGTCCAGTTACACGTATACAATGATTAGTCATATTTTTGTCCAAAAACATAACTAGTCATGTTTTTACCCACGGAAATTCTAATAGTAATATACATCGTTTTTCGAACCCGGTTATGAGTTCCTTGCCATTATTGGGTCAGACAAACTTTTGGTAAAAGATTTTCTATTTTTCTATTTTAGTTCTCTGTTATTGTGCGAGAGACACTTTTAAATATCGATTTTAATGTTGATGGATTATAGGGATCCAAACATATATAATTAGGAGAGATTTGAGCTATGAATGGAGAAGAAGATGAAGTGTATAGTGGTATTGCTTGTGTAATATTGATTCTAGGGCTTACAAGTGACTCCAAAAGGAGTATAAATAGAGAAATAATGGCTGGGCCGCTACTATGGGCCCGATAGACCCAACTACATAAAAAGCTAATCTAGTACATACAGATGATATATGAACAGTATAATACAACAAAAGACATCCGATAAGCATGTGTGGGCCGCTGTCCAGGCCCGATAGTCGTGAGACCCGGGGGGTCCGAGTCTATATACTCTATCAAATGTTTTCCACATTTTAGTCCTCAGAATATTATCAATTTACACTTTTAGTCCTTCTATAATGATTTTGACACAATAAATGTAGACCTTAAAATGTCACTATTATAATAATTGAAGGACCACAAATTCCATTTTCATTAAAGTCGAAGGACTAGATGTGGAAATTTTCAAAGACGGTACCAAAAGTGTCTTTCACACCATAGTCGTGAGAGGTCTCGAGTTTACCGTGCCTAGTGAGAGGTCTCGAGTTTGAACCCCGCTATGCACATAAGGGTTTGAAACTCAATTGAGTGAGTTTCAGCCCGATTACTGCAGGCCCCCTCCCCCAGACGCCCCCCTGGAGTAAAAAAAAATTGACAAAATTCAAAGAGGAGTACCAAAAGTGTCAGTGACATAATAATCAGAGGTTAATGTTATAGGTAATATTTTAAAAGTTTTATGCATACTTTAGACAATCATACTTTGCGTTAAGCTGAGTTAAGTAGGAGTAATCAACTCAATTCATCTTGAATTTAAATAAATCATAGACGGCAAAGAGAGCTCCAATGTCTAAGTGACAACGTAACTAGGTTAAGAATTTTAAGACATTGCTTTTAAAAAATTATTGATAAGTACATGTCTATGTTACAACGTGCGTGATAACACATCGAATTGATTGTTAAAATCTTATTGATGGAGTATATGGGCCTGGACCCCGGGGCCCACATACTCAGAAGAACAGAAGGTACCACGATCACCATGTGGGACCCTCGTCGGCCAGATGACCTCCATCGGCCAGAAAGAAGCCTACTCAGAATATGACCCAGAAGCCAGGAGAATCGGGTGACCTCGTCGGCCGGGTCTTCATCGGCCATGTCCTTGTCGGCCATGCCCTCGTCGGCCATAGACAGCCTCCAGAACAGGATTTTATACTTAAGTATTTCTATACACTTTGTATCCGGCCCATTAGTGGTCCTATTGTAAATGGGCTACCCAAGCCCGGGACTTGGGAGCCCAGTCCTAATTTTCTCTATAAATACTCCCCTTGGGAGTAGTTGTAGGGGTTGACAAATCATTTATTGCAAAGAGTTATTGCACTTCTCTCTCTAGCTATCACTTCTCTCTAGACTTATAATCTATCATTTGGTGCTCTCATTGAGAACTAGAACAATCAAGTTAGCCTCCTTCGTCGCTACCAAGCACAACTAACTCACAATGGGAAGAACCAAGTCAAACCGCAACCTCCTCGGCAAGGCCATCCCTGAGGCACAAGAGAACCAGGAACACGAAGAGGATGCTACGACCGACAAGGCCGCCGAGGGGGATGTCTTCCAGGAAGCCATCGATCTCGCAGGTGACCTGCGCAACAAGCTCAATGGCGGCGCCCCAGACGACCGCATCGGCTTGGACAAGAAGCGCGCGGAAAAAGGCGACAATGCCTCGGCGCAACCGGCCTCTCTTGCTGTTGACCCTCAGCTTCAGGCCGCACTCTCGGCCATCATCGCCAGTTTGGCCCAGAACCCCACCGTCCTGAGTGCACTCATGCCAAGGACGGGGGAGAACACGACGCTGCCTCCTCAACCCCAGCCATTGGCCGTTAGGCTAGGCAACGATGAGGGGGTGGTACCCCAGGACACGACGTCGTCCCACTCCCACCCTGCTTCCCCGCTTCGAGCTGGACCGACCCCAGTGCGTGGAAAAGCCTCAGCTTTTAATAGGCTAGGTGACACGTGCCATCAACCTGCTTCGGAGAGGCCGGATGGCAGGGCGGATTGGTCAGCGTGAGCCTGGCTCACCCAGGGAAAGCTTGGGGTCGGTATCCCGGACAGCGGATCGGCCCCGCCTGGACAAAGGTAAGGGGAAACTGCACGAGGGAAACAATAGTCAGGTACCAAAAATGGATAAAATGAAAGACAAGGACTAATTGTGGAATTGGTGCAAAACTCGAAGGACCATAAGTGGAATTTCTTCTATTTTGGAATTCCAGATCTTATTTGCTCCTATTTTGGGCAATTTCCCTATATTAAATGTTTTTCGTCTAGGACCTCCAAACCACTAAAGCTGGCCTTGCACTCAAACTTGGTTAGCCAGATTATGAACTTGTAAGTTCATACAAACTCTTACTTTGTGATTTGGGGTATGCCCCTTATATAAGGTATATTGTGTAACTTTTGTTCATTGTGTTATAAAATTTCCGGTTTATGTAAAAAGAACTAAAGTGTTGGTAGATTAGTATTAAATTTTGGATATCCGAAATATCCGAAACCCGACCCATATCCGACTGAATCCGACATTCAAAATATCCATAATTTTTTTTCCATTTTCTTTAAGGGTAGGGTTATAGAAAATTACCCTGATACCTGAACGGCTTTACAGTTTAGGAACCCTGACCCGCCCGAACCTGACTCGTGCTCTGCCCAAAGTGTGATGTTGTTATGTATGTTTACTTACTGAGTATGGTATGAACTATGTTCATGGACTCCTTTATACAATCGAGTAAGTGTGACTCACGAGTGATGGCACTTGATTGTACGTTGTTGTACACGCGCTTAGATGCGGTCTGGGGCATGCCACACACCTCTGAACTTTATATAAAAAGTCATTTTCATATCATGATTTATGTTAGTTTACAAATACAATTTATGGGAATAATTTCATAATTTCAAATACTTTAAGCTTTGTTAGAATGCACTTAATTAACATTTCAAAGTTTCATTTGTGAAATAAATAATATTACACCCAGTATGATTTAATTTTAATTTTTAATTGCACCCTAAAATATGTTTTGTGTATTTTAAATTATGTACTTGACAACATAAAATTATGTTTGTAAAAAAAATATGATCATGAAGTTAACATTAGTTTTTATATAAAGTTCTGTCTATTTATATTAGATGTGCAAGTTTGAGTAGTTACTTCACACCCCTTCATATTTATGACTATTAAAATTGTTTACACATATGTAACTATGTAAGTACCGACGACTATATATAGTAATAACTTAATTAATCATAATAACTTAATTGTGTTCAGTTTTTAAACTTAATTGACCATGACACTATATTGCAGTAACTATATATATTAGTCGTATTTGTTTATATAGATTTTGTTTTAATAATATTTCTGAAAAAATGTCCGCTAGATATTCTCATCACCTCATGGCAATGCCACTAAGCGTACATAGTATAAGGGATATCCATGCAGGATATATACATGAAAATAATATATAATGATCATGATGTTTTCTTTTTTAAATACTAATCACACTCAACATTTCACGGTCTCCAATATCAACGTTTGACCATTAATATATAAACAAATACACTTAATTAACTTATAATAAACTAACATTTCAATAATATATATTAAAATGAAGTATTCAAAATTATTTTGGTATTATAAAATAATGTTATAATGTTAAAGGATCTTTAAATTGTGATCAATTAGGTAATCCCTATTTTTGTTATATAAAATGTATAACTATAGTATATAACCGATAACGATCAAGAAAGAGAACACATTTGGGAAATATATATCGATCATCAATCCAAACATAGTAAACAATCACTAATCACTAATTCACTATGCTAGCATATGTTACTTCGAACAAAATCCAATCCATTCATGATTATATAATAATAATTATTATTATATATAGGTGTGTACTATACGTTAATTGGAAACAAATTTAGTATGAAAATGAATGATAAATTATAATCAGAACGTTGATCGCCAGCCACCTTAATTAGCATGCAATTACCATAAAACTGCTCATCTATGTATATTCCTTAACATATAAACAAAAGAATTCCATTAGCATGCAATTACCATATATATAAATACGTCTGTAGTGGGGACAATACCTTCACAGCCATATCTATATATGTAGGATCGGAGGACTTTGCATGCCATGAAATAAAATAAGAGTGAAATAAAAGAGAGGAAATACACAAAAATCTTTGAGTCATAATATATTAGCTACTAGAGCTGAGAAAATATATATAATGGCTTCTAGTGTATGGATGTGGAGTCTTCTGATTTTGGTTTTAGTGAGTGCACTTTATGTTAGTGTAGTTGATGCTCGAACACCTAAAACCTATAATGTGCAGAGTTTTGGTGCTCTTCCAAACGGCAAAACCGACAGCAGTGAGGTATATATAAATATTATTGCTATTATACTTTGTATATTATGAGGCAAATTCTATGATACCCTTGAATATTCCAATTGAATATTTTAAACATAAATAAACGATGAAATGATAAATTAGATCAAAAATAATGAATGATAGGTATGGTATACCCTTAATCTTTTGTGTCAGTAGGTGCCATAGCACAGACCTTATTAACAGAGCCGGTGTTTAGGAAGTTCAATAGGTTCTACAAAACAGACCCTCCAAATTTATGGGGGAGCAATTTTTTAAAAATTTATTAATATTATATAGTAATATTATATATTAATACTAACCAGTAAAATATAGTTGATAAGGAAGAAAAATACAATAATATCATTTTTTCGTCGGTCCTTTTATTTCTCTTTTACTCAAATTGCTTGAATGATGGGTTGTGTTGCTTTAAATCAAATATTAAGCGTCTCTTAGAATTTTCTTTAACACTATGTACATTTTTTAATGAATATTCAATTGATTTGAGTATAGTTATTTAGATTGAGATATTTTTAATCTTTTATGTTATATTGGGGCCTCGGTTTTATATATGGAACCGGGCCTCCAAATTCATTAGATGACTCTGCAGTTATTATTATGTAGTAATACATTATTAGTAATTGTCCTGAATAGGACTAAACATTAATTTTCTACCCTAAATACTCCTAAGAGTATTAATTTATAATAAAATGTAAACAATAATAAAAATCCTAAAAAATGATACAAATTTATAAACTACTCAGAGAATGAAATTAAAAAAAATGAGAAAAAAAATCAAAAAAATTAATAAAAAATAGTAAACCCCACAAAAAATGAATGTCTTTTCCACCGTGTCTAACGCCTCCCAACACTATCACCTCCGATCGGTGAAAATAATTCCATTTTTTGTAAAGTATAAAAATTCACATTTTTGTTCACCATCTTTATTTCGATAATATATTTGTCATCATTTCCAATAATGAATGATGCACAGGAGTGTAATTAACAAATTAAAATTTGTAGGCATTGCTTGCAGCATGGGACCTGGCATGCAAAGATAGCGGTAGTACGGTGCTGTTCCCTAACAGTGGCAAATTCTTATTGGACCCGGTGACGCTGAACGGCCCATGTGCTGGCCCAATAACATTTCAAATGGATGGCGTTTTGAAGGCCCCCAAGAACAATTTTCTAACAGAAGAGCAATGGATACTCTTTAATAATCTACGCAACCTGACGGTGGGCGGTCGCGGTGGTACTTTTGACGGCCAGGGTGCTTATGCATGGAAGGTCAACCCTTGCAAAGTTAAAAAGGATTGCACCCCATTTCCTTCGGTATGAATGCATCTATAATTGCTCACATACATACATATATAGAGAAAAGATCAGGTGAGAAATCCTCCTTAATGAGAACTGAGAAGTAATCTCAACCCTTGAATTTGCATCTAATCTTACAACGCAGTAACTTATAACCAATAAATCATAACTTATAAAGATCTTCATCTTAATTACGAAAATGCCACCGCGTCAAAAAAATTTCCAGGTTTCTGGAGTTATTTTGACGCAGTGGCATTTTCGTAATTATTTTCGAGGGGGTCTATAAGTTACTCTCTCCGATTCCTAAAGAAGTTCCACATTTGACTTCACACATATTAAGAAAATAAATTTGACTTTACTGTGGAGTGCACTGTTTGAACATTGTTTGAACACTGTTTGACACTGTTTGACACTGTTTTGATGTAGATAATAAGGAAATGTTTGAAAGTGGAACTTAATTTTGAATCTGCCCGAAAAGGAAAGGTGGAACTTGTTTCAGAAACGGAGGGAGTATGATTTATTGGTTAAAAGTTTGTACTTTTAGCTTATAAGTTAGACTTCGCAGCTTCTCACTCTCACATGATCCGCTCCATATATATATATATATATATATATATATATATATATATATATATATATATATATATATATATATATATATATATATATATATATATATATATATATATATATATATATATATATATATATATATATATATATATATATATATATATATATATATATATATATATATATATATATATATACAGAGAGAGAGAGAGAAGATCAGGTGAGAAGTCCCTCTTAAAATGAGAAGTGAAAAGCAATCTCAGCCCTTGGATTTGCATCTAATCTTACAACGCAGTAAACTTATAGACTGAATATAGGAACTTATAATCAATAAATCATAACTTATAAAACTCTCCATCATAATTACGAAAATGTCACCGCGCCCAAAAAATTTCAAAGGTTTTTAGGCTTATTTTTTTGCGGTGGCGTTTTCGTAATTATTTTCGACGGGGTCTATAGGTTATGATTTATTGGTTAAAAGTTTGTGTTTTTAGTCTATTAGTTAAACTTCCCAGTTCTCAGCCTAAAACCACTTTTCACCTGATCCACTCCATATATATATATATAGATAGTATTTAATATACGGTATCCATTTTGATGTAGTGTATATGTTTTTGCATAGAATATCAAATTCAACGGTGTGGAATACGGGGTTATTGATGGGATAAGCTCGATGAATAGCAAATATTTTCACATCATAGTTGACAATAGCGAGCACATTGAAATACGAAATGTGAATATTTATGCACCTTGGGATAGTCCCAACACAGATGGAATTCACATCAGTCGAACGAGCAATGTGTATGCTCACAATCTTGATATCAGCACCGGGGATGATTGTATTTCATTAGGGCCAGGAAGCGTAAATATTGAGGTGTATGAGACAAGATGTGGCCCTGGCCATGGCATTAGCATCGGAAGCTTGGGAAAGTATGAAAATGAAGAAGATGTGAGTGGAATTATAGTGCACAATTGCACTCTCACCAACACCACCAATGGCGTCCGGATCAAAACATGGGCCCCTTCTCCTTCAAGCAATGTCTTCAATGTTACTTTTCAGGATATCATTTTGAACCAGGTCCGAAACGCAGTTGTCGTGGATCAACATTACTGTCCCTATCAGGCATGTCCACAACAGGGAGAGTCTCAAGTTCAAATCTCAAATGTCAAGTTCATAAACATTGTTGGTACCTCTGATGATGAAGTGTCTGTAGTTATGAAATGCAGTGAAGACAAACCTTGTAGAGATATGAAGTTGACAAGCTTGAATATAAGAACAAATGACAGTCAACTCACACAAGCAAATTGTACTTCTTTTGTAGGGAACTTCCATAGATGCCAAAGTCCTCTTTATTGTAATACAAAAGGGTAAAATAATTATCTTCTACATAGGTTAGATGTTTACATGTGGAATTTTGATATATATATATATATATATATATATATATATATATATATATATATATATATATATATATATATATATATATATATGTGTGTGTGTGTGTGTGTGTGTGTGTGTGTGTATGTATCTGCCAAAACTCAAAATTTTATTTTAACATTTTAATGCACACATATACATTTCATTATACATGTATGTTTATGTTTACACATGTTGAAATTATGTTTCTAATCATCATTTTTTAGAAAATGATAGCCACACACACATAATCTAAGACAAATAAATGATAATTGAGCAACACCATTCACCATTCTTTTTACAAATATTGTTAAAAGAAGTTACCTAATAAAATGTGTCATCAATTAAAGTGTCAACAGAGGAATAGCTCACTCCTTCCCGGATGGCATCAACAACGTGTGAAGAATCACATGTGACATAAAAAACTGTCCATCCTTGCACCATACTTACGATCGACGTCTCATCTCATTGGAATTACTAATATTAAATTTTGAATACTATCCATTCATTAAAAAAAGCTTTGAATGTAGATATAAGTTATGATTAGAATTTGATTAAAAATAATCAACCAATAAAATTTCGATTTTATTGTCAAATGTGCTAGGGACTATATGTCAAATTCTAGTGATTTCTATTTTTATTGCTGCCATCTTTCATAAAATATATTATGTCTGTCCCGCTAAATTTGGTACATGGAAGATGATGTGAATTGACAAAGAATTTAGTAAAAACGATATAGAACCGATCATGGCGGTGGTTCCGGAGGGGAAAAATGACCAAGACCACATATCCACTGCTATCCGACTTAAAAAAATTCAGCAAAATTGGGTAGAATTATATATCGTTGTCAACCAGAAATACAAAAACTCTATTATCACTCGATAGACTCTGTTGACAATAAATGGCAACAAGAGTTCTTATAAGCTTTAAGGTCACCGTACTTTTCACCACTTCACTACTCATAATAATTAAGGGATAAACTATTGTTGTTCTTATTGGGTTGTACGGCGGTTGTCTACGTGACACGGATGCGGTCCGGGGTGTGACATATCAAATAATCATGCATGAAAAATATTTTTGCTTAAAAATAATATTCTTGACTAAGTAAGTGGCATATTCAAACGGGTGATCACATATAGAAAGTATATTAGCAGTGATCAATAAAACATGTACCAGTATATGGAAATCATATTAGTTGATAATCAAATAAGTGCAAACATATTAATTCAAGCCAACTGTCCACACGAAACTATGAATACTTCTGTCCTTCGTTCCACATGGAACTGTGAACGGTTCTGTCCGCCATTCCACCTGCAGGGTTAGTCATCAACAAAACCGCATACTCAACATATTCTTTCCTTTGAGCTCGGTCTTCTTAAATGTGCAAGATCAGGACTTGTTATACTATCTTTAATAGCTCAAATCTCCATATATATTTCGGTCCTCTTGCATAAAAAGTATTCAAAAATGTTTCCTTATAGGTATTAAAAGATATTCTTTTTATTTGATTGAAGGAAATCATTTTTCTTAAGAAATATTCCTTGTGAGAGAAGATGCACGAAAAACCAATTTCAATTTTGAATAACACCATTTATTTCGGAAACTTGCTTTGCGGAAAGATCTCTTAATTAATGTGTTTGATTTAAATAACTTTCTTTAAAGAAAAAATTCTTTCTTTGTATGATCATTGATTATTTCCTTACTAAAAAAATCTCTTTAATTTAACAAGACAAAACCGGACTTGGATGGAGAGAAAAGATATTTTTAAGTAAGTCAATATATTCAATCTTGGATCTGCCGGACAGCTCTAGGTTCAGGTCTACGACTTGTTCCAAAGCACAAATTATACTTCCTTTTGTGCAATCACTTATAGGTCAAAAGTAACACTAGTTGTTTGTCATCAACAAAACATTATGTTCCAACAAAATTCCCCCTTTTTGTTGATGACAAACACTTGGTGCCCTAAAGTTAGTTCCATAATAAAGTATATAGGGACATATAGGGCATATGTTCTTCCCCCTTTTGTCAACAACAAAACAGTAAATAGGTGAAAAATAGATTAATGTTCAGCGAGGTAGAGAACACCAAGATATAAAGAAAATGTGTTATGGATGAAAATAAAAATATCAAGAAAATAATTCATGCACTGATCAACCCAAGTTCCATCCGTATTAGTTCAAAACGTTCCCTCCCCAAAGGTTTTGTAAAAATGTCATCAAATTGCTTTTCGGTGCAACAATATTCTAAACAAATCAAGCCTTTTTCAACCCAATTTCTAAGAAAATGGTGGCCAATGTGAATGTGCTTTGTACGTGAGTGCATGACGAGATCTTTAGAAATACTAATTGCACTTGTATTATCACACATTATGGGAGTACAATTCAAAGAGTTACCGAAGTCACTTACTTGTTGTATGATCCATATCGATTGAGCACAACATGAGGCAGTGACAATGTATTCGGCCTTGACCGTTGATAGAGCAACTGAATGTTGTTTCTTTGAAGCCTAAGAAACTAGACAAGGACCAAGAAAATGAGCCATACCTGATGTGTTTTTCCTATTGAGAAAGTCCCCGACAAAGTCCGAATCGGAGTAGGCAACGAGATCAAAGTTTGAATTTCGAGGATACCAAAGACATAAGTCCATGGTTCCACGCCTTATACTTGAGGATTCTTTTTACGACCTTGAGATGGGACTCTTTAGGATTGCCTGGAACCAGGCACACAGACCTACGTTGAAAACTATGTCAGGTCTACTGGCAGTTAGGTACAACAGTGACCCAATCATTATATTCCTCGATACATCTTGATGTCCAGCTTGTTCCTTTCTCATCGGGATCAAGTTTATCATTCGCTCCCATATGAGTGGTCATGGCCTTGCAGTTCATCATGTCATACTTTAGAAGCAACCCCTTGATGTATTTTTGTTGAGAAACTCGGATTCCCTCATTTGATTGTTTGATTTGTAGCCCAAGGAAGAAATTTAATTCTCCTACCATACTCATCTCGAATTCAAAATTCATAAGAGCAGAAAACTCATCACAGAGAGAATCATTAACAGCACAAAAAATAATGTCATCTACATAAACTTGAACAACCAACAAGGCTTGATCCTTATTTTCAGAAAAAGATTTTTGTCAACTTTAACTCTTTCAAAATCATTTTCTAAAATAAATTTTTATAATCTTTCATACCAAGATCGGGGAGCTTGTTTTAAGACCATAAAGTGCTTTATCATGTTTAAAAACGTGATTAGGAAAATCTGGATTTTCAAAGCCCAACAGTTGTTCTACATATACCTCTTCTTAAGATAACCATTCAAGAAGGTTGTTTTAACGTCCATTTGACGAAGTTCCCGTTCCTATCTCCTTATGCTGATTGGTTTCATGATTAGTTCCCCCTTGCTCATGGATTTGGTGCAATCTCCGTGTAATACCAACCTCTTCATCATCATCCACACGCGGTCTTGAACCAATTGCTTCATCAAAGATTACATGGATACTCTCTTCAATGCATTGAGTACGTTTATCGAGTACATTGTAGGCCTTACTATGTGAGGAGTATCCAAGGAAAATTGCTTCGTCACTTCGAGCATCAAATTTACCTATGTGGTCCTTCCCATTGTCATGTACAAAACATTTGCACCCCAACGTTCTTAGGTGACTAATGTTTGGTTTTCTCCCTTTTAGAAGTTCATAGGGAGTCTTTCCTAATAGAGGATGGATCATAGCTCGATTGATGATGTAGCATGCTGTATTTAGAGCTTCTGCCCAAAAATGTTTGGCTAAATCACTAGAGATTAACATGGTTCTAGTCATGTCTTCCAGAGTTCTGTTGTTTCGTTCTACTACCCCGTTTTGTTGGGGCGTTCTTGGGGCAGAAAAAATATGGTCTATCCCTCGTTCTTCGTAGAATGCATCAAAGAGTGAGTTGTCAAATTCAGTTCCATGATCCGAACGGATCTTAATCAATTGTTTTCATGTTTGATGCTCAAATTTCCTTACAAAAATAGTAAACTAATTAAAAGTGTCTTTCTTGCTAGCAAGAAAAATAGTCCAAGTATATCTCGATAAATCATCAACAATCACAAGAACATATTTTTTATTTCTCCGAATACAAACATACATTGGTCCACATAAATCCATGTGTAACATTTCAATTGATTTACTTGTGCGCACCAAATTGTTTGTTTTAAAAGAAGTTCGTGCTTGTTTTCCGGTGGCACAAACGAGGAAAATATGATCAATTGAATATTTCATGTTAGGCACCCAATTACCAAACCGTGAGATTTTAGTTTAATTAATAAAGAAAATCTAGCATGTCCAAGCATTTTGTGCCATAGTAGGAGATCATTGTCAATAACACTCAAACAAGTTAAGCTCACATTTGGTAATAAATCAAGATCAACTTTGTAGGTGTTACCAAACCTTTTATCTTCAAGTATAACTTGTTGAGTATCATTATTGACAATCTGAAAAATATCATGATTAAAAACAAGATTCTTACCTCTATCACAAAATTGAGAAATGTTTTGCAGATTAAATTTTAAATCCTTGACAAGAAAGACATTGTCTATTGAATGGTTAGGTGACTTTCCAATTTTTCTCACGGCTACAATTTTCCTTTTGCCGTTGTCTCCAAATGTCACCTTTCCACCACTAAATGGACGAAGTGAGAGGAATGAAAATGAGTCTTAAGTCATGTGCTTAGAACAACCACTGTCAAGGAACCAATGATTGTTCCCCCTCACTTGGCGTTGTTCCAAAATCACGTGTTAGCCCGTGGAACCCAGACTTGCTTGGGTTCCATTTTGTACGGGTTTG